AAGAGTGTTTGGGGTATTTGACAAGCCTATGTCCTTTACTGTAAGAGCAAATAAGAGTTGCTGTGATGCTTCTCATGATGTAGTAAAACAGTGTTATATGTTCAACTCCGAACAAGAAGCGATTATTAGGTACTCAGCAGTAATTACAGTAATGTATATTTTGTTGTGCCATTATGTCATATTGGGATATTTTTTCTGTGGTTATTAAGCCCAGCTATTTCTCTACTTAGTCCTGGAGGCACAGCCTAGTTTCTTGTTAAAAAAAAATATGCAAACACCAAGATACCATCTTTTTATTTGTTTGTACAAAGCCTTTCCTAGACTGTATCCTAGTTTTCTGATGAAAACATGCATGTATTCTATAATGGTTTAGAAGATAGGTAGAAAACCTAGCTATTAAGTGAGAAAGGCGGGTCTCTTACAGTTCCTAAACAGTTCTATGCTCCTGGTAGGTGTGGTAGAAAAATAACCTAATATTTTTGTTGTATTATTTGAGAGAAGGTGTGGTCAGGTGAAAAGCATTGATCCTTAAAGTTTGTGCAGAAGAGGGAATACAAAAGCATCTATTTTGATATTCCTGAAGTCTACAACCTTCCATATAACCTTCATATGAAAACCTGAGAAGCAGAGAAGTCTTGCATGTTCATAACTTAATTATGTTTCACCTGCAGAAGCCACCTCCTTATTCTTAGCTTATTTATTAATTATTATAGTATCATCTTTCCTGATGAATCATTTTCTTGTTTATCTTCTCAGCTGAGTTTCCTTAAACTACCATTTGTTACACGTTCACTCGTGACACTGTTGGCCAGCCCAGTTCCTAGACAACAAACGACATCTCCATTGAGTGCTTGTCCAAATGTACATTTACACTGTATGTATATATTTAAACATCACTGGAAGCTGAATCTTTTTTACAGCAGGAGCTTTATTATTTACAGGAAATTCCTGATCCCTTAAGGGTTGTGCTCTCCACTCTACTCACCCAACTTGGCGTCCCAGTTCCTCGCTTCCTCTCAGCCTCCAAATACAGGAGCTTTCCCTCCTAGAATGATTTTTCCTGCTGCATTAGAGACTGTTTTTATGACCCTCCTTTTGGCTTCTCTGCTCAACTTGGAAGAGAGGGGTTTTTTTGTTGTTGTTGAAGGTTGTTGCCACTTTTTTGTTCAATTTATTTCTTCAAGAGACGCTTCTCTAGGAGGAGTCAACTGAAGGACATACCTACTGTGGAAAATAATCTGAGACAACTGCTCTCTCTACATGCATTGGTTTTAAACTGCTGCTTCTAAAGGGCAAGTGATAAAAGCTTCAAGAATTTCTTCTGGAAGAAGCCATCAGCTCTTCTGTGAAATTGGGGAGTGTTTAGCAGCCAGAAATACTACTGCACCTTCCTAGCAGCCAGATCTTCCTCCTATGTGTGAGGAGGTTCACAAATTCCCCACAGTACAAGAAGAAAACTGGGGAGATGTTTCAGCTCCTACTGTGCCAACGGTACCTGTTCAGCTAGTGCTCCATCAGCGGAGAAGTGTAGAAGTGAGAGCAGATACAAACATTACTGGGCTTCAGATCCTCAGCTGCAAATGGCAGGGCATTACCAGAGATGGGTAACAAGTACCCCAGCCTGGGACCAGTGTTTCCTATGGCTGCCTGTTCCAGACAGCAGTCCCTCCAGAGCTCAGGCTGCCTGATGTGCTGTAGGTGTTGCACAAGATCCTTCACAAAGATACCTGATTTCTTGGTGTCTGTAACCACAAGCTGTAATATCTGTTTCTTCTTGACAGCTCATTATTCAGGAGGCAATTATAATGAGGCAATTTCACCTTAGACATTTCAACATTCAGATCTCAGCTCACACATCGTCGTTGGCTTCCCTATTGTTCCTGTGCCCGAAATCTGGAGAGCTGCCACCTGGCACTTCCCTCCACTTTCGGTTAGCTGTGTGGTTTCACTGAAGCCTCCTGGTGTGTATTGCCTTCAGTGAGTGGTCTTTGACCTTTCTTGATTCAGGGGTTCAGAGATTCCTCGAGCCAATGGGATCATGTAAAGAATAATCTGGTTTTTCGTGTCATGTGTTGGCTTGTTTTTCTTCAAGATGTTTTGGTTTTAGATGCATTCACAGTCAGCTTTCCTATTTCTCTTCCTTCCTGGAAGCCACCAGTAATGTTTGTTAAGACCTTGAAGAAGGGAGGGCTTTGGCCATGTACCTGCGCCTTCTATGGTTATACGCCATGTGACAGACGGGCCAGGTTATAGAGGTACTTCTGTGTTTTGCTGAGGCAAAAAAAAAAGACCTGGCCTCAAATACTTAACATCTATGCACACATACACAGTGTGAATCCTTATATAGATGACCATGCCTCAAGGATGACCATTGAAAATCAGGTGCCTTTCTTTGCAAGCATTATCAAAGCAGTCAAATAAATAGCAGTTTTAGAACATGCATTGGAAGTGAAGAAGTAGCAGGACTGAATGCTGCATGCCTTCATTTTCAGTTGGAGTTCTGCGGCTCTGCAGTTAGGATAGTGCATCTATTGAATTCTGAACTGCATTGCAAAGAGGTGGAAGAGGAGTAAATGCTAATCCACAGCAAGAGTTTTGGAGTCACTTACCTGACTCTCAGTCACACATTAATGCTTTGGATAATGAAGGAGAAATACGTGTTTCAGTTTGCTGTGATGAGCTTAAAATAGTCTCAGCAGCCAGGCTTGACTAGCCAGCTTCTCAGTTTCCTACCGACTGCCGGTATCATTCGAATACTGTTCTGACATCTTTCCTCCTTCTAGGCCTGTTTCCCTTTCTCCCTTTGTGAACCATCCACACATCATGTACAACTTTGTCCTTTGGCTGGAACTTGCCATCAGAGAAGAGAGTAAAAATACCGAAGATTTTTATTTCTTTTGAGGATATTTTTGATGAAGTAGTATACTGACAAAATCTTATCTGATACGTGACTTTTGGGTGGTTCCTGCATGGAATCAGCTGAATTGTCCATTTCACAGTTAGTTGGGTGAATTGTTTTTATATTTCCATTCTCTGCTGAGTCATTGAATACTGCCTGCTCTGCGGGATTAGAATGTTAGAATTTGTAGATCAGTAATCTCTTATAGCACATTCAACATTCTAACATTTTTTGTTTAAATAAGCATGACTTATTAGTTTGAAATGATGTTGTAAAGGAATTGTACGCACTTAATAGCATAAATGTCACTAGAGTGAGGGAAGGTTGGAAACACAGTTTATGTGAATTTTAAATGACAGAAGTGAAATGCATGATCAAACTTTCCTATTTGGCACTCTGCAGGATAACATGATTTAATTTTATTTACATTTCCACTTCTTACGTGTATCTATCAGAAGTAGGTGGCATGCAATATATGAGTTTTGTGGATGTGTAGATACATAAATGCTGTGTGCATTGTATTCCAGCAAGATCAGCATAGTATTGCCACCTGCCTAACTGACTCGAGATGTTGAGAACCTTTAGTCTCATCATCCTGATATTTACTGCTTGAAATAATGAGTGTCATAGTCTGCTGTCTTCCATCACTAGAGTGAGACTGGACAGTTTGCCTTTGGATCTGAGTCATTTGCTGATGAAACTCGGGAACCTTATGTTCCACTTCAGGCTCTGGAGGAAATTCTGCTTTACTGGGTCTTTTCTAGCACTACTGTCTTTTGTCCAGAGGAGGCTCTGTGTATCGTGATATGGTAGATTAGGTGATCCACATATATGGAGGGTGACTTTTGAGATACAGTGCTTTATAAAATACAAAAGATGGTTTTTTAGTTTTCTGACATTTTGAATAATTGATGATATATGCTTCCATTTCTTTTTGCTGTTAAGCAATCAGCTTGCGTGTCTGTGCCTGGCAGATGTACAAAGCACAGCTGAACAGTTTGGTTGCTGTGCTTGGAGGTACTCCGAAATGGCAAGGGATGAGATGAATGAGGAAAAATTATTCTAATGAAACTTTGAAAATTGCTTTCCTGTTTCTGATCCTCCTGAGCTGTTACTTGTATGGCTAGAAGCAGGAAGGTCCACCTGTGATCTCGTAGCAGAAGAGCAGCTATTTTTCTCGGAGGGTTGTTTGGATGTTTCCAGGATTATGACTTGGAGAGAGAATGCTGTTTGGAGAGATGATGTCTCTCTTATCTGAACAGTGGTCATCTTGCATTGTATTGTGGCTAATCAGATACGTATGCTAGCCAGAGCTCGTCCTCCTTAGGACTTCAATAGAAGACTTCTCCAGCAAATCTTTAAACATTTACTAAAGTGCAAGTTCGCACCAGTGCACACTATGGTGTTTGCATTTCTTTTCTTTTTGATGCAACATGATTTGTATATAACAGAATGCTGAAAGTCTCATGTTTTGGTGTTAAGTCACCCTGCTATACTATTTACCTATTTTTTATGATATATGAAATCTTTGAAAGCATTTGTAGTGTTTTTACACAAGATGCATTTGTCTGAAAATTGCATACCAGTGAGGGGGAAAAAAAAATCTGCTGGGTTCTTGCATTGTTGGTATTCTGGATTTATATGCAGAAAACCAAATGAACCAACACTTACTGATTAGTTTAGGACTGGTGACATTCAAGAAAACAGTTTTGGGGGGGGGGGGGGGCTGGAGACAAAGAAGTGCAGTCGTTTATGGTCTCAGCAGCAAGCAGAAGGGGCTTGAATTAAAGCTGGACCTCCCAAGGCAACCCAGCTAGAAAATGGGTTCTTGTACTTGAAACCTTCTGTGTTCAAGCTTGAAATTCTTCCCTTGGTGTACTCTTTCTCTAATGTATGATACATCCTGAGATTGCAGAGAGAAAACCAAGGATATGCCAGGTGTGCTCTCCAAAGAGCTAAACATGCAATTTTACTGTTAGGGAGGATTGTATTCTTCCAGTTTGAGTAATGTTTATTGTCAGCTGCTGCTGGAGCTCTCAAAAAGACTGGATTTGCTTGTATGCATCTGGGTTAGGGTTGTTATCTATCTTGGTTGTTGATTTTTATTTTGATTTATACACATGTGAAAAAGATTGCCCATCTAATTCTACGTGTCTGACATAAAATAGAGGCAAGCTGCGGTGTTTGAAGATAAGCCTTGCATGTTCTTGTCGCCCTCGAATAGTTCCTCCTTCCCCTACTTCTGACTTTCTAGTGCTTGGAAAAAAAGATGAGCTCTGAATGAACCCTGAAGGTCAGTAGACTCAGGCTGTTTCATTCCATCGAGGGAGTGAATTCCAAAGCTGTGGGGCCCTTGCAGCTAAATGCAAAGATGAGAGGGTTGGCGGAGAACTAACAAAAGATATTGTCCAGCCTCCACATCCCACTAGAGGAAGGTGATAAGGGTAAAAAAAACTGGACAAACAGAGTGGACAAACAGAACTTGCCAAATATTTCTCAAGATATATGCATGACAGTAAATGCACTGTTTACTTTTCAGTGTTTTCTTAATAGTAAATACTATTGCTCTAAAAGTTTGCCTATGGGCTGGATCATTCTGATTTCTAACTGAATTATGTCAAATGTCCTTCATGACCAGAGGCAAGTTGTTTATTTTCAACCCAGAGCAGTGCAAGTCAGACAGAGTACCTAGCTGGCTGGTCCCACAGGGCTCTTTTTCATTCCAGTTCCTTAGTCAGTTTTTGTGCAATGTGAAATAACGTCATTAAGGTGAAGTCAATCAGCTTTAAAACCCCACTACTGTTTTTCCGTCCAGTCTGTATGTTGCAGAATTTTACTCTCTCCTGACACGTAAAACGCACTCAATGTACTAGGCTATTGTCTAATTACATTGTTTTCTTTTTCCGTCCAGTCTGTATGTTGCAGGATTTTACTCTCTCCTGACACGTAAAACTCACTCAATGTACTAGGCTATTGTCTAATTACATTAAACCCTAAAACACTGCCTGTGTTAGAAGTGATCATATAAATGCATCAACATCCGTGAACCAATTATTCTACCATTTAATTTAGCTCTGAATTAGCCCAAATTGAATTGAACAACAATTTCCCTACCCACCAAATGCAGCCAGGCTGTCTTCTGCCAGACAAGGAGGTTTGGAGTAGTCATTAAACCAAAAGGGTTTTAATTCATTATTTGTTATATTTTATTTCCAAGCAGTGAATCTAACCTATGGTGATGTGACTTTGAACAAATTGGTTCACTGCTCTATGCCTCAGTTTGTATCCACTGGCAAATGTGATAATGCTCACCTCGGGGAATACACGTGAGGCACCACCAGTTGAGTTGCAAAGTGCTGTGAGTTGCTTAGCAGGAACGAGCTATAAAGGTTTAGGATTTTATTGAAATCACCCCAACCCCTTCTTCCCTCCCACTCCAGTGCTGCTAGAGAGCGCTTGAAAAGACACCTCTTCTCTTCTTTCATTATGAGTAGAGAAACTTTTGTACACTTGCCAATGCAAAGATGTTATGTATGTCATTAAAACTTGCACTGTCCACACTTCAGAGAGGCCTTGCTGGATTCCACCTACTGCATTATGGACAAAGAGCACTATACATTTATTTCTCTTTTATTATGGTAACGAAAGTGTACCCATACTTATCTTGACGGTATTTAACGTTGCTTTCTTTGCTAATTATAGAATGCCTGACCCGGATTTCACCGTCAGAGATGTGAAGCTATTAGTGGGTAAGTTATTTTGAATGCACTGGATTAACTCTATACAGAACAGAATTGCTTTGAAATACTTGTCCAGTTGTGTTTGTAGACATTTGTGATAACTCTCAGAATCTGGGAGAAGGCATGGAGAAGCAATTTGTAAATTAAAAAGGCTGGGAGAACCCTAATTAGTAGTTGTGCTGACCGGACTCTGATCTCATGCTGGATAATTGGCCTTTTGAAAGAGAGTGGATGCTTTTGCTCTTAACAGGTGTCCTACATACAGTCTTATGATCCTGGAAAGCGGTAGCTCTATTGATCAAGTTCCTATTTTTTTTTTAATCTGTTGTAGAGCATCTGTTTGTAAAAGGTATGATTGGAGCCATATCACCTTCTGCCTGTGCTTTCCCCACAGTCTTTATCAGTGTCAGGCCAGGTCAGTGCTTTGAGGAAAGGTTGCTAAGAGAGACTGAGCACAAAGCTTTGCAAACTGCCTGTCTTTTTGATAAGAGACAAACCAGAGAAGTGGTGACTGTAATGATCAAATGTTTCCTAGCAATTTTTGCAGAATTTTTTTAACTCTAAGAAAAGCTACGTTTTGAGTAGGAGATTATACTGTATGTTTCTTTGAAATCTGCTTTTACTGAAGATGGATGTGTTACTTATTGTTTATTCAAAATTGTTACTGAATAGTGATACCGCACCCTGTGAAGTTGTTGCTGTGGAGCTAGCTGAATTTTGGATGTGTTAGCTGCAGTCCTTCACGAGGACATTTAACTGCATTCTTGCTATTTAGAATTTACTGGGTTTATTTACCTGTGTTGTGACAGGAATTAATCTTTCAAATTAGCTCAATTGCTGCATTCTGGAAGATGAATTTTTGAAAATTACACTTGAGTTTAATATTCAGTAGGAATATCAAGTCTGGAAAAGATATAGTTAAGAAAAACAAGGGAGAGGAACTTGTGCCTTAGTTCTGTTCAGTTGGGGTTATCTGTGATAGAGGGGTTATCTCTGATAACCTTCCTTCACAAACAAAACTTGGCAAAGTTGCTTAATTGATGACCACTTATAAGTTCGGAAACAAAAAAGCCCCAAAACTCTTTGTTAGAAAATGTTAGAGAAGTGGTGTGGAGAGTAATATTTGGTAGCATTTCTGTTGGTCAATCTGCAGTCAAATTAGGAAATAATATGAGGGTATTTGGAAGTCCTACACTCTATGGATTTCCTAAATACCTGCGTGTACACATTTGTAGGTACGGAATACCTGGTTTTGCTGTGGAGAGCCTTATGCATAAACCTTGTAATTATCTGGACCCTGTTTGCAATTCTCTGTGAATTTGTTCCATAGCTGATGAACTGCCATTTCTGTCTCTGAAACTGCTGCTGAAGTTCTGAAGTTGAGGGTCTGACTTTGAGATGTTTTGGAACAGCATAGTGTTGCATAACAACGTTGTTTTTCCTGTGTAACAGTCAAAGTGTGGGAGTTGCATTTCCTCAAGATTGATGTCCCTTGGAGTATTAGGGGCGTGGAGATTCCTGTGTACATGACCAGCAAAGCAGGAAGATATTTATAAATAAAATTAGATTTATAAAACAATGGAGCAGAAATAACAATCGTAATTAACTTTGAGATTAACTTTAATGTAAAAGTGTGCCATTTCTCACAGGTGGTTCAGCAATCCGTGTAGATGCTCTAGGCCAGATACCGCACGTCATGGGTCTTTTTTTATTGTGTTTGGACAAACTCCCTTTGGAGTTATTGTACTGAGCCTTAATTTGGTCAAGAACATTGTCACCTGCTGTCTTTTTTTAATACATTGATGACTTCTGGCATTGTAGGTGGAAATTTTGATTCAAAAGATCTAAAATATTTGGGAAATAGACTGTAAGTCATGGTTCTTATGGCAAATGGTTTCTGTCGCTGTGGGATTTGTGCTGTATGTAGCAGCCACATTGACACCGAGAGCAGAAGGGGGCAATTCCTGTCTCCATGCAGAATTTCTAAATTACCTACTAATGACTTCAGGAAACTTTGGTGAGCAATTTTCCTATTGCATATCATTGCTGATCATTTTTTCTAGTTTTAGCTTAATATATATGTTATACTCACAATCTAATGTTCAAATAAAGCAGATGAAAATTCTTCTTTTATTAATATCTCCTGTGGTTGTCCCTGAGTTTTTTTTAGCAGACTCCTCAGATCTTGCCTGAACCTCCAGGTATCTGTGTTTCTGAAGTGCAGTGTTTCAAAACTTATTCAATGCCATGCTGAACCTGGGAGGGGAGTGATGTTTTGCAAATGTGAAATGGAATCATCATAACTCTCTGCATCTGAATGTGTGTGGGAGTTGATAGAGAACATAGCTTGAAAAATGTTGTGTTCTGTATAAACTTGTTGTTTTTTTAAGTGCTCGTTGTTATAGTATGCTGGTGCTATTTAAACCTATCATTTCTTCTCTTTTCTTCTTCAAATCAGGGGAAACACATTTGTTACAGAACATTTTAAAGACATGGTGCTGGGTTTTTCCAAAGCACGTAAATTCCATAAGAAGTTACTGAGCCTTTGCTCTCAAATTATTCTGAAATCTTGCTTTCTATTTCTAATGTGATTGTTGTGTTATCTCTATATTTGGGTACCTATAAGTCACAAGGAAATAACAACAATTGGTAGACTAGCTTTTTTAATTTCTCATTGAAAACTCTAGTCTGTGGCAATAATAAGGAGAAAAAAAAAAGGTGGGTTTTTTGATCGTACTTTGTGGTTACTTGGGCTTAGGTGTGTATTTTTTTTCGTGTTTTGCCAGACTTCCAAAGAAACATTGCCATTGCTTGTTGGATTTTTTTGGTGGTGGTGTTGGAAAAAATGCAGATATCAGCTGTAATTTAGTTTGATAGTGGTTTATGGCCTACTCTTTATGACTTGCACGTTAGTGTGCATGAATGTGCACCTATGTGCAATGTCTGTGGATTAAACACTCTTCCTGTACAGTAGCTTTACTTTAAAGAACAAACACTTTAAACTGCGCAGTTGGAATAATGGCTATAACTAGACTCCTACATCCATATGAAAGATCACCTGGATATTCTTTTAAACCTGAGACAGTGGATTAATTTCATCAGATGGAATTTGTCTGATCTCTGAAATGGCTGTGAGCCAAGAATGCAAATGAAGAAGAGGAGAGGAATTACTGGACTGCTTAGGAACTTGGGACAACTCTTGAAAGAAGAAAAAAAATCCTTTGTAATTTAATAACTATTAAGCTTTGCAATTTCATTGTCTAAGGTAGATTCAGTCGCTAATTCTGAAGAACAGAATGTCGCTGTTGTCTTCATAAGTTGACTTAAAATTTGACAAGGAGGGTCATTGACCCTCTTGACATCTCCTAAAACATCTGCCACATCTGCACTAAAAGTTTGATGAGTGTTATTTCTGCAGGCTCCTTATTCTTCACTCCTGGCATGCCATGCTGATGTGTTGTGATGTTAGTATATGCATATGGACTACCTGAAAGCAAGTGCAGTAGCTAGTAAGTATTTGGGCTTGGCTTTATTCCAAAACTTTTTGCACATATGTGGTTGTTGTCTTTAGAGTAGCGTAGTACCTTGGTTTATGTCCTTTTTTCTTTTCTTTCATGTTCTCCTAATCCCTTGTTTTAAGGGCTCCCAGAAGGTCAGAGAACTTACACCATTGTCCATTTCTTCTCTGTAACTAAAGCCAGTCTTCCGGCCAGTAAACAGTGTATCTCAAGGGCTACTGGTGAGACTCCAAGACACTGTTCTTTTTCCCTGGCTGCTAGTCATGTAAATGTTCTCCAGAAAGTCTCCAGAAGTGTCTTTACCAAAAAAAAAAAAAAAAAAAAGGGGGGGAAAACAAGGAGGTGTGTCAAGTTAGCTGAAGAACTGATTTTGGGGAGTATCGGGTATGTGAAGTGTTGTGTTGGGACAGTGCAATAGCTATTACTAATTTTTCCTCAGATTGTGTGATTCTGAGTGACTTACTGCTCATGCCCAGAAGAGGCAGCTATACAGAATAATTTTGTTTGCCAGGCCTCTTGTGTTGGCTTCTTCCACCAATGGTGTTTCTGGGCCACAGCACGGAGAGGTGTCGGTCATAAATGGGCAGGAAAGAAAAAGTGTGGTTTTGCGGATGTGTCTGCTTGAATCTCCATACGCACATACCTGTGTGAATGCTTTATGCTAATTTCGCTAAAGAACAAATGAAGTACATTTGACAAGGTTAGCCTAAGACTGAGCAAGGAGAAAGGTAACTGCCTTGTTCAGCAAGTTGTTTGAAAGCCAGGGCTTCTGTGGTCGCTGATGACCATCTCTAGCCTTTGCTACTCCTGAATTCAAGGACCAAATGCAACGATTTGCTTTAGTCTTTGATGTCAGAAAGCCAAAGCATTAAATTTTTTCATTTATTTGATTTTTGTCTTTATATTATTCTTCACGGACATCATACAGTCTGAAGAACGGAGCACTGAGTAGTTTTGGAAGCTATGAACCATGTGAAGGACAGAGAAAGAGGAAGCATACATGAATGTATGCATCAATCCGAGCTCCATTCTCTTTCTTTGATTACTTTTTTTTTTTAGTGGTTTGCTTGGGTCAGCACTGATTGAGTTTAATAGAGTATCTGCTTTTCTGTGGCATCCGCAGGGTCTCACCCTTTGACTTGTAATTGATGTCTGCACTGCTTTTGTCTTCCTGGGTTGCCACAGTCTGCCCAGGAGCTCCCGGGGTAGGTGTGGAGTCCCTGCACAAGTGTGGTGTCTATATATAAACAGTAGTGGCTAGTCTGGATGTATTTGCTTTTATTTTTTGTGTTTAGCTGACCTCTCTTCAGTTTGCGTGCCACAGGCTGGCTGTCTATTGCCATTGAATCCCAGCGTTTACTCTCATACTTAAATAAACTAAATAAACCTAAGTGGTGCTGCTGGGTCTGTAACATGCATTGCCTCCTCTCTCTACAGGCTGGTGTAGCTTTGTGTGCCAGGGTATGTATTATACACCCCCAAAGTCAAGCT